GTGATGCCCAGCTGCCAGCCACTTTGTCATCACTGTTTGATGGATGTCAGAATGGAGGGGAGAATTATGGACTAGTATAGAGCATCTCTCTTATAGAGCATTTCATATGAAGGGGTTTGTGTGGAAGATTGTGTGTAGAGCTCTGCTATGGCAGACCAAGTAGGTGGGGTCAAAGCTTGCTCCGCTGGTTGAGTGGAGGGGTGGGCCAACATATGTTGGAGTCTCCCAGTGTTGGAGATCCTCTGGGTCAAAATCCGTGGTGAGGCACAGGGGACACAATGGTGGGGGTCTACTACAGACCTAACCAGGATCAAGAGCTTGATCAGGAATTCGCCAGGGAACTAGCTGAGGCTGCATGCTCCCGGTGCATGGTTGTCATGGGAGATTTCAACTACCCAGACATCTCGTGGGAAGGGCACTCGGCCACATCTGAACAGTCGCAAAGCTTCCTCATGTGTATGGATGAGCTCTATCTGACTCAAGAAGTCTATGAACCGACAACAGGCAAAGCGCTGCTCAACCTGGTACAGGCAATGGGGGATAACCTAATCAGCGACCTAACAATCAAAGGGAAACTGGGAGACAGTGACCATGAGCTCATCACCTTCCCCATCCACTGTAAAGCAGGCAAGTCAGTCAGCAAAGCAGAAGTCCTCGACTTCAGGGAAGCTGACTTTGACAAGCTCAGGAGGGGACCATGACTCAAAGGGGAGGGGTGTTCAGAAAGAGTGGTTGCTTCTCAAGGGAGCGACCCTGAAAGCACAAGCAATATCTGTCCCATCTTGGAGGAAAGGCAGCAAAAGGGCACAGCAGCATGCTTGGCTCTGCAGGGTACTAGTGGACCTCCTGCATCTAAAAAGAAAGGCCTATAATGGATGGAAGGCTGGATCCACCCCAAAGGAGGAGTATTCTGCACTGGTTTGGACCTGTAGGAAGCAAACCAGGAAAGCCAAGGCTGTGACTGAGCTCCAACTGGCTACATGTATCAAGGACAATAAAAAGTCCTTTTTTAGATATGTGGGGAGTTGGAGGAAAAGCAAGGGTAACATTGGACCCCTGCTAAACCATATGGGTCAACTGACAACTGACACCTAGGAAAAAGCCAACCTGCTCAACGGGTATTTTGCGTTGGTTTTTCACCAGCCCCAAGTGGTGGCTCTGCCCAATATGGTATAGGACAGCCAGGGTGAGGGAGAACTATTGCCCTACATCAATGTTGACCATGTGAAGGAACACCTTGAGAGGTTGGACACCTTCAAGTCAGCTGGCTCAGACAGCTTACACCCCAGGGTACTTAAGGAGCTGGCATGCATCATAGCTTGGCCACTGGCACGGCTCTTCGAGAACTCGTGGTGCTCAGGCGAAGTGTCCAAAGATTGGAAGAAGATCAATGTGGTGCCGATCTTCAAGAAAGGGAGGAAAGTAGATCCAGAGAACTACAGGCCCATCAGCCTGACCTCCATCCCTGGGAAGATCTTGGAGAAAATCATCAAAGAGACCATTCTTGACAAACTGGCTGAAGGCAACTTCTTGAGGGATAGCCAGCACGGGTTTGTTGTGGGTAGGTCTTGCCTGACCAATCTCATCTCCTTCTATGACCAGGTGACCTATCACCTGGACAAGGGAGAAGAGATTGACATCATATATCTTGACTTTAAAAAAGCTTTTGATCTGGTATCCCACAATTGTCTTATAGAAAAACTGGCCAACTGCAGCCTCAGCTACATCACAGTCTGCTGGCTGGGGAATTGGCTCTGAGGTCAAACCCAGAGAGCGGTAATAGACGGAAATCAATCACTGTGGTGCACCGTGACCAGTGGGGTCCCCCAAGGCTCCGTCCTTGGGCCTACCCTTTTCAACGTCTTCATTAATGATGTGGACATTGGTGTCAGGAGCGGATTGGCCAAGTTTGGTGATGACACCAAACTTTGGGAAAAAGCGTCCACACCCGAGGACAGGATGGTGATCCAGGCTGACCTTGACAGGCTCAGAAAATGGGTGGATGAGAACATGATTGCCTTCAAGTCCGAAAAATGCAGCGTACTCCACCTTGAGAAGAAAAACCCGCAGCATGCTTATAGGCTCGGCAGTGCTATGCTTGCTAGCACCACGGCTGAAAGGGACTTGGGGGTCATGATTGACCACAAGATGAATATGAGCCACCAATGCGATGTTGCAGCTGGCAAAGTGAGCAAAACTTTGGCTTGCATCCATAAATGCTTTTCTAGCAAATCCCAGGATGTCATCCTGCCGCTGTACTCGGCCTTGGTGAGGCCGCAGCTGGAGTACTGAATCCAGTTCTGGGCTACACAATTTAAAAAGGATGTAGAGAAGCTTGAGAGAGTCCAGAGGAGAGCCACGTTCATGATCAGAAGGCAGGAGAATGGGCCTTAGGATGAGAAACTGAGAGCTACGGGCCTCTTCAACCTGGAAAAGTGCAGGCCCAGGGGGGACCTGATGGCTGCCTATAAGTATGTAAGGGGTGTACATCAGGATCTGGGGGAACACCTGTTCACCAGAGCACCCCATTGGATGACAAGGTCAGATGGTCACAAACTTCTCCAAGACTGTTTCAGGCTGGACATAAGGAAAAACTTTACAGTCCGAGCCCCCAAGACCTGGAACAGACTGCCGCCAGAGGTGGTGCAAGCACCTACTTTGGACTCCTTTAAGAGTCAATTGGACATTTACCTTGCTGGGATCCTGTGACCTCAGCTGACTTCTGCCCTGGGGCAGGGAGCTGGACTCGATGATCTTCCGAGGTCCCTTCCAGCCCTAATGTCTATGAAATCTATGAAATGTGATAACCAGACATAAGCAAATAAACAGGGAGGACAATGTTGTAAGAAAACTTGAAAGTTACCCAGGAGAAGGATTCAAGTAGTTCAGTGACCCAACGTTTAAATGTTCAGTCCTAAGTGAAGCATGACCTCACCCATCCTCCCTGCAAGGCAACATTGCCATGCATAAATCCAACCATATATTTTCCTCCTCAAAATCAGTGGAACAACAGTGGGCCTGCTGAAAAGCAAAATCAAGATGAGGACCAAGAGTCTTGTGGTCATGTCACATACCCCTAGTAAAATCCAGCAAACTATTCCACACACAACCACAGGGAAATTCATCACAGACAGAGGGGTAAAAGATTAACTGCCTAATGAAGGAAGTTTATCCTGCAAGGAACATTCAGAAGGAAAAAGAGGATGGGGGAGACTCAACAAAGGGCCAGAGTTTGCATCAATACGTAGCGTTCACTTCCTCCCTGTTGACAAAATGGTGACGATGTTTTGCCCATGTCTGATCCCTTCCATCTGGGATGCCAGTGTGATTTACAAATAATGGAGCATTTGAGCAAGTTCTGTGTCATGATCCCCGCTTCAATGAGTCACTTCCTGTCTCTGAGCCTCTCTAAAGGTCATCCAGTGATATCATGGTAAAATCCAAGTGGAAAAAGGTCACCTGGTTCCCAGTGCTCCAGTCACTAAACCAACACAAATAGGGGAAGGAGGCAATGACAAGGAGAGCTGGGTATGGTTCAGAGCTTTCATAGCAGAAGAAGTAGGATCTGGGCTTAAATCCACACAAGCAAAGAATTTCACAGTTTAGGTGAAAAATGAAGATTGAGCTCTGTCTTCCAGGCAGATATTGCTGAGCTGCATTATGAATCCAGGTTTCAAGTTTGCATCCTGTGAAATTGATTCAGCCTGGATTTGTACATCTGAATATCCCAGGCATCTTTTGTTAGGACAGACTCAGCTATCTAGTACTCTCCCCCTAAACTGCTAAGTCACAATCTCTCTTTCTCTGGCCCTCTTTCTTCTTTAGCTACTAAATGCCCTTCTCTACAAGGCAGGTTTTCACAATGCTGCAGGTCAAGTATGAGCCCATCTCCAACACACCACAATATGCAGGAGTAGTATGCTCAGCTAGCAATGCCAAGACTTGGATCATTTGTGTTCAGAGTATGGCAATGTCTCTCTTAGCAGAGAACCTTAGCATCTGACTCCTTTAAGAATGATATTATAATACTAACAGCAAGTACCTGAATAGTCCAGTTGGTTCTGTGCATGAAAAACCGGGACAAGGTTCACTCACAGGCAGCAACATGTTCCCCCATGCTACATTCACCTATATGCCTCTATAGTCTGGAACATCAATAAATCTCTGGCATGTGCCAGAGAAGAGACAGCCCTCCCTTTTCCTCTCCTTTCCCAATCTTTTGTGTTCAAACCACTGATTTCTATTTAGAAGCTCTGCTTTCTGCAGCTCCTTCATAGCATCTGATGAAGTAAACTGTTGCTTATGAACACTTATGTAGCTCTGATTTAGTTAGTCTATAAGGTACAACTCTGCCCTACCATGTGCCAGGAAATCCAATGAGCACAGTTTCACAGCATTTCTGTAGCATCCTCAATGAGAAATGTGGGAGGCAAATAGGTTAGAAACAAGCCTAGAAAATGAGCATTCAAGGGTTTTATTGGTGGCATTCTGGTTTTTGCTCTGGCACCAGTTCTGATGATGGAAGTCTTTGGGACCCAGGATTAGTGAGGGGCAAACTCCACCCCTGACACAGATCTTCCCATTTCTCATGTATTGATTCATAGCCATCATGTCTAAAGGGATCTAGTCACGCACACAAACCATAATGAAGCAAATGCTACAGATGGCTGAGCAACATGGCCTATGCAAACCAAAGTTCTTTCAAAGGTGCTTCTAGGCAACAAATACACATGAGACCTCATTCCCTCCCACTGGCATCAATGGCAAGAAACTGCTTGTTCGGCATCAAAGAACCAAGAATAATGCCTTACAGCCCACTACATTCAAGTCAAACAAGACTGTGTCCACAGTTCCTAATGCCATCCACCCACTTTGCTTCATTACACTTCCTTCCAGCCTAACTAGTATGTACATGTTTAAGGAAATGTAACCATGGGGGAAATTTGACAGCAGTGGGCTGATTTTGAGCAATCACGGAGACACAGAAAGGCTAGACTACAATCAGTGTTTCCAGTCAGGATTTAATGGCCCACACCAAAGCAGGTGTGTACATTTCTCTCAAACTCTGCAAAAAACAAATTTCTGAGCCAGAAATTTTATAGAAGAAAAAAAGAAAAGAAATAGAAACTCATCATGGAAGCTGGAAGTTACTCTCACCATAAGAATGGCAGTATAATGTTTTCAGTGGTGAATACTCCTCTCACATTCCTCTTGCAACCTACATTTTTTTCATGTTTTTTTCATGTTTTTCACCATCCCTGCACACAGAGCAGTGGCTTCATTGAGCTCTCCACAGTGAGGATACTTGGGTTTTTTCCCCCAAGAGTAGTTGGTTTAGACCTCAGCGGCATGCATAAACAGGTCAAACTGGCTTTTTTTGATGTGCATTACCTGACCTCTGTCAATAGCCAGTTATAATTTTCCAGATAATAAACACTGTGAATTTGCATCCTTAAGAAAAGAAGCAGCAGGGTTCATACAAAAGGTGATTTCAATAAAACCCTTTAGTTAAGCAGATTAGTAAGTAATCTTCAGGGCTAACTAGGAAAATTGTATTGCGGGACTCTAACCTAGAAGTGACAAAGATTAGGTTACTAATGGTTCTGAAGGGCTACAGCTTCCAAGCTGATCAAATATGGGAAAACACATTCCAGGAGACTCCCACCTCCTGGGAATCAAAGAATGCAGAGCTCTGGGATTAAGGTTGTTTGAGCAACAGTCTCATTCTTCAGTTACTTCAGATGTTCCTCTTGTCTACCAGTTTCATTTCTATCCACTTAGCCTATATACGAGATCCAGGTAGCAGAAAAGCAAAGGGGCTGCAGAATTTGAGTTTGAGGAAAGGAGATCTAACTAGGTGTGCTGAGTCCAAAAATCCCACCATCTCCCACATACCAATTTGCACCCTCCCTATACATGTTCTGTGGGTTTATTCTCACCTTCTAGGCATCCTAACACAACAGCAATAAATACTGGAGAGCTACTCTGGACTTAGTTAGCAGGGGCTTATTTATAGAATTGTGGGAATTCAGTGGATAAGCCCCACTGCATCAATAGGAGAACAGAGTTTAGCCAACGAAGAGGTGATTGGACTCTTCTGTTTCATGGAACCCACTTATGTGCTCAGTGGGACAACGTCATATCTACCTGCTTGCGGAAAAGCAGCATCAGCCAAATTCTGCTGTCATTGGCAGTACAACAAGTCTGGAATGTCTCAGTTGATTGCAAATTACTCAGAACAGGATTTGACTTCTTATTTATACAGGTCGCTGCAGTAGACTGACTTTGGACCCAACGTGCTTGCAGCCATTTTTGGAGTACTGCCGGCCCCCTGTAGTGTTATAACAGAGCTGACTTGCTAAATTTTCTATATGGCTCTGATTAAGATACAGTCCCTCCCTCCTTATCTCCTCCATGAAGCATTCTATGACATGACTCTTCTCCAACAAAACAAATGGGATGATATCAGCAGAATTCCAAAGAGGATGGATGTGGATCAGTAAAGGCTGGATGAGATTTGGGAGTTCTCTGCTGAGCGAATCCTCAGTGGAAACATTCTGAGTGACAAACTTGGTGATTTCACTATCCCCTATATTGCTTATTAAAATGTAGATGGCATTGAGGAACTCATTGGTCTGGTTCGGTTCAAAGAATCTGCTGAGCGTGTCTAGTAGGACTGGAGGTATATGCTCAACTTCATCTAGAATAAAAAGTGGTATTTTCTCCTCTGTTTCCGCTCTGGTTATTATGTCAGAAATCTTCTTAGACAAATCCAATTGGCAATCAAGAGTAGCCTCCTTATTTGGGCAATGGTGCATCACAAGGTACTGAAGCACAAAGTCACTGTCCATGACTGATCGAAAATGTTTGGCTAGCAACCATCCAACATGACTCTTCCCAACACCAGTAGGGCCATTTAAAGAGATTACTAGGGGCTTATTATGTATGTGAGTTGCCAGATAGTCCTTCAACAATTCCATAATTTTTTCCACTGCCAGCTTTTGCCCAAACACTTCCCGGTGCATGGTTTTCTCCAGTCCATCTAGGTCATACTTTTGAAGGTTGTCATCCAGATTCTCAATAGCATTTAGAATCTGCAAGAAGATGATACCAATGAGCAAGAAAAGACAACGCTTTGCTTTACTCTTCTCTGCTGTGGGAAGGTACTTTCTGGAGCTTTCTGGATACAGAACTACCTTGGATTTTCTGCGTTGCTTCTTGCGTTTGGATTTATTCAGAGTACATAGGTCTCTAGAGGTGTCAAAGGTGAAGTACCGAGAATTTTCAAAGCCGGATTGATTAAAGAGGGATATAGAAGAACTGCACAAGTTTGTTCGGTTCAGGGAAATCTGCCTTTGAAGCAGCCTAGTTTGGACCAGCTCTGGAGATTTGTCCTTGCTGAGATCCACTTGTAAGCGGTTTTTCTTCTGGATCCGGACTTTTCGTCGCAAGCGGATGACTGCCCTCATGGGAGAGGAAACGAGAGAGATCTTGTGAGGAAGGGTGGGAGGCTTGGTGCAGGGTGGCTCTCCATCCATGTTGCTACCTTCTCTGAACCATTCAGACTGTCTTCTCTGAAAAACACAAGGACAATGTGAAAATAAGCTAAAACAATGGGAGATCCAGAGGTGAGGTGATCATAGTCCATCTGTGCCTTTGCAGAGAGGCAAATCATGCTCATTAATCTAGCAAAGAAAGTAAAACAAGAATCAATGGCTGGCAAGGAAAAGTAAACAAATTCAAATTAGGAATATGGGGTTCATTTTTCACCGTGAAGGTGATCAACTGTTAGATAAGCTGGCAAAGGGAAGTAGTGGATTTTATATCTCTGAAATGATAATGGTTGCCTTTCTGGAAGATAGATAAGTCCAGGAGGTGGCAACCTGTGGCCAATCAGCTGGATTCAACCTGCAGAGCTCTTTCTGGCCTTTGAACATGGAGCTTTGATGGTGAGGGGCTTTAGCTGGTTTCCTTTTACCACCAAAGGGAGAAGTGCCAGTTGTGGGCAGGTCCTAGTACCCACCTACCCTTACACCTGTCTCTGACTCAAGGTGGGTCATTCCAGTCCACAGCTGGAAAAGGTGGCCTACTATTGTACCAGTCAATTACAAGTTACTGGACTCTGGACAGGAGTAACTATGGCCTTGGTGGTGAAATTAGATGATCAAATGGTTTTACAATCTAGTAACAATGTAAAGCAGTTGCTCCTAGTATCCATGCCTGCTGAGAAGGGAAGCCCAGAGTAATTGTAGCTACTCAAGTGCAAGTAGAATCTAAAAACTGGGTTGAAGCAGTGCTAAGACAAGTAAAATAGGATTTGGCTCAGAGGACCTGTCCATTATTAATTTTTATTTTAAAATATTAATTGATTGTGATTAACAATTAATTTTTAATTTTAGGATTGTTAATAATTTACAAGATAGAGGTCAGACAGGCTTCAGAGGTTTCTTGCACCATATAGAAACTATCAGCTATAAATAAATAGCTTTCAAATTTAGATAGCCTAATCCAGCCCTTTCTCGTTTATGGAAACCCAGGCCACAGCTGCAACAACCTATCACATTTATCAGCAGGTAAAAAGCAAAACTGGGCTGATTTCCAATGCTAATCAGCACACAGAAAAGACTACTCAACTTCTGGTGCTGCCTCACAACAAACATTGCCACCCACCACAAAGTACTAGAGTAGGCAGCAGCCTAAACCCAAACAGAAAAAGGATCCAGCCCTACACAGTGCAGTCTGAGTTCAACAGCTCCAGCCTCTGGATCACCTAAGCAAACCACCCCGCTCCACACCAGAACACGCAAGACTCTAGATCAGTGATTCTCAACTCTGGGGTGCCTTGAGAGCCTTTCAAGGGTGTTGCAGGGTGCCACACACTGTTAGCACTGTGAGGCTCACAAACATGACGCACAAGATAAACCAAGAGATTTCAAATAGAAATTCATAGCTGTGGTCTTTCTGAGTTCTTTGCAATAGAAAAACTACTTTGTTATTTTTCTGTAGTCAAAATAAGAGTAAACACTAAGAACTAGTGTTTGCTTCAAGTCTTATCAGGGGTGTTTTGAGCTAAAAAGGTTGAGAATCACTGCTTTAGATATTACAGGAGCACCCTACATGTATGTATATATAACTACCAAGTGAATAGATAGGAGCCAGTTGAGAGTACTCAAGGAGACCACAGTTCTGGGTGTACTGGGACTAGTAAAACTTGTGCACTGCAAATGGCTTCCTCTGATAGCTCTATGCACTAGACCAGAACCTAAAGTACCAATCTAGGCTTTCTAGGAACAATAACTATAACATAGCAGTAAACCTGACTGCTGGCATCCCGCCCCAGGCCTGTCCTGCTGGCAAAAACCTCCCCACAGGGGCACATGCAAAGCTCAGGCAGCCTCTCTCCCCAGACAGGCACAGAACTCCCTCTAAATCCCAAAAAGCAGCAACTGCTCAGTCAGCAGGGTGGAGTGGGGCAGAGACATTTCTCCTGAAGTGCCCTGAGTATGAGGAAGTGAGAGAGACTCCTCCAGACTATCAGGAACCAGAGAAAGCATCTCAGCAGACAGCAAGTCAGGAAGCTGGTGCCTGACCCTGGGAGACAGGAACAACTTGTGTACTCCATCGAGATTGGCCACCAAGTCAAGGAGATAGTGCTTCCACTGCCTGCTGATGTGTAGCTCCAGGGGTGGATCCAGAGGGGCTGCAGTTGCACCCCCACACCCATGCCTCAGTGATTCCTGGTCCACCCAAAGTTTAAAACCAACTGCCCAGTAGTGGCAGCAGCATTTCTATTCAGGCAGCAGTGAGTAATGGCTCTTGACTTCAGAGCCATTACTTGATTCCTTCTGAACTCTTTATTCCATAGGTGTTAACAACCGTCTGTCCTTTTTAATGGGTTTGATGTCCTACTAATTAAGCTATCCTTTCTTCTACAATTCTGCTGTCTCTTAGCTACTACTCTTAAGGTGGCTCCTATTTCACAGCCCTGCAGACTGTTTTTACCTCTAGCTAAAAACATTAAGTCAGGTGAACATTAACTCAGATGTGGAAATACTTTCAGTGAAGCATTAAATGTGCTGTCAAGATGCTCAGAAAGGCTAGATTTTGTTTTATGAATGAAAAAGAGATGTACATTTAATTCAATGACAACAGGACCAAAGAAATCTCTTTTGAGTCTTTTGGCATCATCTATTGTGTTCTTATACATAATGTATGATATAGCAAATTAATTCACATTCCAATAAAGTTAATTTTCATAGAATCATAGGGCTGGAAGGGACCCCGAAAGATCATCGGGTCCAGCCCCCTGCATGAGCAGGAAAGACATCTGGAATCAGACAAGCCCAGCCAGGTGACTGTCCAGTCTTCTTTTGAAGACCTCTAAGGTAAATGATTGCACCACCTCTGGGGGGAGCTTGTTCCATAGTCTGGACACCCCAGTTGTAAAGAAGTTTTCCCTAATGTTCAGCCTGAAACTATCTTCCAGGAGATTGTGGCCGTTGTTTCTAGTTTTCCCCCAGGGCACCCATGTAAACAGTTGTTCACCAAGCCCCTGATGTACGCCTCTGATATAGCAGTAAGCCATAATCAGGTCCCCTCTTGGCCTTCTTTTCTTTAGGCTGAAGAGTCCGAGATCCCTCAGCCTCTCCTTGTATGGCTTGCCATGCAAGTCCCTGATCATACGGGTGGCCCTTCTCAGGACCCTCTTGAGCTTTAGCACGTCCTTGTTGAAGTACGGCACCCAGAACTGGATGCAATATTCCAGCTGTGGCCGCAACACTGTTGAGTAAAGCGGGAGAATCACTTCTTGGGATTTACTGGAGATGTATCGATTGATGCATGCCAGAGTTTTATTGTTCCTAGTGGCTACTGCATCACATTGCCGGCTCATATTCATGCTGGTGTCTATTGTTACCCCCAGATCCCTTTCATTTGTAGTGCTGGTCAGGTTAGCGATGCCCAGCCTGTAGGTGTGCTGGGGTTGTTCCTTCCCAGATGCAGCACTTTGCATTTCTCTACGCTGAACCTCATCTGGTTCCATTCTGCACAACATACCAGCCTGTCTAGGTCTGCTTGTATCTGCAGCCTATCTGTGGGTGTGTCCACGCAACCCCATATCTTGGTGTTGTCCGCAAACTTGGCCAATGGGCTTCTCACCCCCTCATCCAGGTCGTCGATGAAGATATTGAACAGCACTGGGCCAAGTACTGACCCCTGGGGTATGCCACTGCCCACATCTCGCCAGGACAACACCGATCCATTCATCTGGACTCTCTGCGTCCTACCCCGCAACCAGTTTCACACCCACTTGACAGTCCCGCAGCTGAGCCCAATATCTTCCAGTTTTCTGATCAGTACCTTGTGGGATACCAGGTCAAAGGCTTTCTGGAAGTTGAGGTATATGATGTCAACCTCTTTTCTCTCATCCAGGTGACGAGTCACCTGATCATAGAAAGAAATGAGGTTGGTCAGACAAGACAGTCTCTCAGGGCATTCTCTACTAGTGACCTGAGCTTATTAAAATTTGCATTTTTAAAGTCTAAGACTTCGAGCTTGGTATCTGTTTTATCAGCCTTGCGACAGACTGTGAACCAAATGATTTCATGGTCACTATTGCCTAGGCTGCCCTCTATGTTTAAGTTGGTCATCAGGTCATCCCCTTTGGCCAAGTCCAGGTCAAGAACTGCATTGCCTCTAGTTGGCCTGTGCACCTCCCAAGTCAAAAAAAGCTCTTCGGTGCTGGTCAGGAAGGATCGTGATTGATCCGAGCTGGCCGAGCATTCCTCTCAGGTTATGTCTGGGTAGTTGAAGTCACCCATGACAACCATGTCCCGTGCACGCGTGGCCTCTGTTAGTTCACAGGCAAATGCTAGATCAAGTTCCTCCCCTTGGCTAGGCAGCCTCTAGTATACACCTACAGTCAGGTATCTCTCGCCACACCTCCCCTGATGCTTGACCCAGAGGGTTTCAAGCTGTTCTTCCTTGGGGCCAACTTTGGCCTGTAGGGAGGCGTACTGCTCCTTCACATAGAGGGCAACCCCCCCACCTCTCTTCATTACCCGATCCCTTCTGTGAAGGATGTAGCCCTTTATGGCTACACTCCAGTCATTGGTCAGACTGCAGTTAGGAGTACTGTGTCCAGTTTTGGGGGCTGTACTTCAAGAAGGATGTTGCTAGACTTGAGAGGGTCCAGAGGAGGGCCATTCCTTGGGGCCAACTTTGGCCTGTAGGGAGGCGTACTGCTCCTTCACATAGAGGGCAACACCCCCACCTCTCTTCATTACCCGATCCCTTCTGTGAAGGATGTAGCCCTTTATGGCTACACTCCAGTCATTGGTCAGACTGCAGTTAGGAGTACTGTGTCCAGTTTTGGGGGCTGTACTTCAAGAAGGATGTTGCTAGACTTGAGAGGGTCCAGAGGAGGGCCATTCGTATGGTTAGGGGCTTACAGGACAAGCCCTGTGAGGAGAGACTGGGGGACATGGAC